AAAGGAGATTGGAGCCTGAGCATTACAAACCAGATTTCACTTTTTCTCCCCCCCCCCTTTTCTGACAGCCTTTCGCGTCCCTAGATCCACTTTCCCTGAATCCCATCTAATTGAGAGGTATAGCCTAATGATCTGCAACTCTCTTATAGCTTCAGTGTGATAAATAATGTGATAAATAATGTAGGATGAAATTAGTAGGCCTGATACTGCTCTTGAAAACTTTACCAAGGCTTAAATATCCCTGGTGTGGCTATAATTTATTTTAATTTTATTTCTGGTTGCATCCCCCCGCCCTCTCTTTTGGGCACTCAACAACTTGTGATCATTGTAATTTCCTAGAATTAGTTACTTCTTTGGAAAGGGTCGATACTCAAATCAATAAAATGGCTTGTAAAACTAGGGAGGTATAGGTTTCAATTTGGGGGTGGGGGGGAGGATGAATCGCTCATTTTCCACTTCTTGTTGACGTGCTCAGCGTCTCTTTTGACTGGGGTTAACTCTGTGTGCTCCATCGGAACAGATGCCGTATAGAGCTGCTCCCTCAAGATCATTTGTTTCCTTGATGGGGGAACATTTCTGAGCAGAACATATTGGTTGCCATAGAGAAAGAAATAAAAGGAAGAACACTAGTCACATTAAGCTATATGTTTGTGCACTGGGCTTTAGATAAAAGGGCCCCGGTTCAGCCAAAGAGAACGAAGCCAAGCCAGAGCTTCCTTAGCTTCACTTAAAACGAGCTTTATTTTGTTTTTGGACTTTTACAGTTGAAACATATAAGCTAATTTTATTGGCCGTCGTTAATTTTATATGATCCGCTTTGCTGAACCAAATAAACTTTAGGAGTGCTCGGGGGTAGGCCGGCCGGCCGGCAGGGGGCGCGCGGCGGCGGCCAACGCAGCGAGCCTGCTGCTCAGCCGCAATCCTCTACTCCCAAAGTTGTCAGAGGAGTGAGTGTGCAGCTTGCCACCTCCCCGGCCCTCCCCAGCGTGTCTCTGATATTTTATACGGCTATAGGCACAGTGACATCAGGCAAGAGTCTTCGTGGGCTGGATCAAACGAAACCTAGGCTAAAATATTTCCAGGAAGCCAGACTTTTGAGCCCACATAGAGCTGTCGCACCGCTCCACCCAGGGGGGTTTGAGAGGGGCTTAAAAAAAAAGTCACCGCAAGAGTTCCCCAGTTGGGCACAGTATCTGAACCCGACTTAAGGCCTGCGAGGGAGTGACATGGGTGCAAACGCATAAATCAGCACACATATTTCAGGCTTGGTGCATCACAGGTTTTTTGCCCAAAGAAACGCTCTTAAACCTCTGGAGCCAGAACAAAGCCATTCAGGGTTGCCTTGCGCCCTTTAATATGCAATTGCCATTTCAACCCTTAAAAAGTATCTGCAGGATTCCCAAGGAAGTGGCCACTCCCTCCCTGTCCATGACTTCACTGTCTCTGAACGCAGTGATGGAAGATTAGGGCAACTCTCTACAAGATCACAAGTCAGCATCACGAAACGTATGCCAAAACTAGGCAGAAAGTTCCCGCCGTAGTCATGTACAGACATTTGAAAAAAGCCCACAAATAAATAATAAAACAAAGAAAAAAAATCCCACGGCAGGATTTGCTGAGACTTTCTGTCGTTTTGCATTTACCTAAATAGGTTAAGTAGCCAACTCCTTTTAGGCATTTTAGCAGGTAGCTAGAGGGGGTGCATAAGAAAGAAACCGGCTTGTATGATTTTATTGGTAAATACATATGCTGCTTCTTATGCATGCCTATCTGCATCCATCCAGCCATCCACCCCCCGGCCAGCCCACATCCCTCTGGCATCAGCTAACACCTGTAAAAGGGAGAGTGCCACGGAAGCCTTGTGGGACAATTGGATGCATAGCCACCTTGCAAGGGGGAGGGAGACAGACAACTTTGTTCTTTGCAACAGGAGCTCCACCAGTTTTACTGTTAACTGGGAAAGTTTTATTCTCAGTCTTTGCAAGGTAAAGGCTAAGTACGTGCTAAAAGAGTACAGTCCATAGATCTGATAGATCCTAGAAAGTCAACTCATTGATTAAAAACATAAGACAAAGATGAAAACCTAAGAAACAATGCAAAATAACCTAGATTCCCCCCCCCACCACCCATGAGACTTCATTTTTAAAACTGAACGAAGCCTAAACGTGTAGTGAACGTGTTTGAAAATGCGCTGAGATATTTACGTGACTAAAAAAACTTTCCACCTTACTGCATGTGGCAAATTAAGGAAGGACAATATCCTAGAATATGAGGCTACATTTCCAGAATGCAATTTTCTACCCAAACTACGCCAGATGACTTTTGTTTTACCACTGTTTATGCAAGTTTTTATACCCAGGACCACGGGGTTTTGAGTTAGAGAGATCTCCAGTGTTGGATATCCCATATTTGGAAAGCAATGTATTTTCGTGTACGTCTTGCTTTGTCTCGCCTCCCCCTCCCAAAAAAAGAAGTACAACTTGCATTTATATTTGTATCAACTCCTTAGGCTTGTTATTGTAAGAGTTACTGGCAGAACACATCAAAGAGAATAAAAAGCAAACAGAAAGCACGGGCACTAAAATGAGCAACAAGTTAATTTGACCAGACTTACTGTTCAGTTAACTGTTTAAAAATATTATTCAGGTGTGAGCACCACTGTCTGTGCGCTACGGACCACGATCGTTATAACAAGGCTACGAAGAGGGAATTTAAAAAAAAATATTTTGTTGGGTTAGAAGCCTTTGCCGAGGTATTAGAGAAGGCAAAGTGGAGGGTCACTGTCTGTAGCATTCATTTACTTATATTCGAGACCGATTAGGTGTATAATAATACAATCGTGGAGAGCAACTGCCTAATTAGCATTCACAGATTAAAAAGTTAAACAAAAAGACACACTACACATACAGTATGCTATAGGCGAAACGCATTCCTTTGTAATACAGCAGTCAGATGAAAACATAGAGTTGTCTGGATTCCAGATATGTAGCTTTCTTGGCCAACGTGATTTGCTATGTCTTTAAAGCTTACCCATATTGTAGTTCACAGTTCTTATGAGCATGTTGATAGCTGAACTAGGAATATTGCGCTAAGCAATCTGAGGAAAATAGGAAAATATCCATATTACTTTTAAAGGCTTACAGTAATAACGATAAACACAATAGACAGCCTAATCATTTATCCCTCCGTTTTATTATGAAGTCTTCAGTCTGGACCTTATTTATTGTTTTTGGGGATAACAAAAACATTCCTGATTCTGTAATAAATTAGAAATACAATGCAGTGCTACACATGCAAATCGAGATACGAGTTTAAAATATAGGTACTTTTTGAGCTGCATAATTCTGATATTATACAACCCATTGTACTTGGGGTGCACCCACCACGTACAGTAATGAAAGTTGCCAAATGAATGGAACAATCTATCTGTTGACTTGAGTTCACGGTAGACACATTGCATATGATGGAAACCTTAATGTTCCCACCCCTACCTTAAAATCACAGGGATATATAGTTACAACCTAGCTTCTTGAACATGTAGATTTTATTTATATGAATAATTGTGCATGTAGCAACATAAAAAGGATTTACAAGTCATAGCATTTTAAAAAGACTGTGAAAACCCTAGCCCTGGCTTTTATTAGACATGATATCATTCTGATTTGCGTGCTTGCCATCTCAATCTCGTTTCACATTTTTTTTAAAGGATCCATATGCATTACATAGATTTTCTTTTCCACGCACAGGACTGGCAGTCCTCTTAGTGGAGAGGAGGGTGAATAATTGTGGTACACCAGAAAACAGTTCGTGCAGTTTGGCAGCTCTGTTTTTTATTATTAGATTTTTTGACATTTGAACTTGTCTATTGTCTGAGGAGCTCAGTGCAGATTGCAGTAGGTCAAGCTTAAGGCTGCTCTTTTTGGCATTTCACACAAACATGCACATGCTGTCTATTCTCCTTTAGTGAATGCAGGAGCTACAATTTTACTGATAGTTTTTTTTTCTCGGGAGATATAATCCGACTGATATTTTCATGATTGTGCGGTTATTTATTTTTAAAGTTTTACATCAGTCCCTAATACATAATATCTACATCTTGCTGTAGGATGCTTTAAAGTAGCCGGACGCTTTTATAGCAGTATAATTTCAGCATCAAAATGTTTGATGAAGGGACTTCAGTAGCTCTGGGATTAAATGACAGTATTTCCGTGCAGCTTCACTCAACTCTATCATGACTCCTACAGTCAAAAGTTAACATCATTCATCATTTCATCTTATCTCCCTCCCCACACACCCCCTCCTCCTCCAAATTCAACCCTGTGCGATCTTACTTTAAAAAAAATGTTGCTTGATAGAGCTGTGGAGGAGGAGATCCTGAAATCCTAACGTGGCTTTTACACAACTTTCCACCTCCATTCTGCAGCCCTCAGGAGTAAGGAGCCCAGGGTAACAATAGCAGCAGCAGTGGTGTGCCCTGGCCTTTTATGCGGTTTGCTTAAAACCATCAAACAAACAAACCCGCCCACACAACGTGGCTTATTACAGATCCACTTATTACAATTAAAATGTAAAATGCAATTTTATAGTGCTGGGGGGAGCACAGGGGGGACGGGCTGGACGCAAACTGAATCAACCCCGATTAGGAAAGTCAGGTTCGGCTCTCAGCTCCTGCCGAAATAACTTTCCCCCCCTGGCGTGAGTTACGTTATGGATTTATTTAGTTTGCTGAGACTTTTCTTGTC